TGTGTGTTTTTGTCTTGTTTTGCTCCAGTTAAAAAGACTCAGCAATGGTTTACCAACCATGAGGGTCCGGGTCCACTTGGCTACAGCTGCCAGCCTTGCAGTCGTACAAAGGCCGGCTGTGATGGGGGAAGCAAAGGTCGCTTTGTTATTTTGACATTTATTTCATCTCCTGCCCTCTCGCCCTTTCTACTGGTGGTTAGGGATTTGGGTTTGTTGTTGTTGTTGTTGTTGTATTTGTGAGATCTGTAAAAACAGTGAGGCTACTGCTGGGTTTTCCTCTCTCTGTGGTGCCAGTGGCACCCAAAGGGATGGATCCATTTTGGATTTTAAGTCTCAACTTTAAAGGAGCTGTCTAACCTATTCTGGAGATTGGTTTCAGCACCTCATATGGGTATTTTGAAGTCTAAGCTGGAATACAAAGTGACTTCTCATTGAGATGGGAACCACCAACAACCTCCTGCCTTCACAAAGTCCTATTCTGCCACCTTGTTGTGGTGCAGAAGTGGCCCTGGGCTTTCAAAGGTTCTGGCAGGGAGAGCAAGCTGTGCCATGCCTTGCCAGCCTGGTAAAGCTTTGCATAGGGCCACAAGAGTAGACTGTGTGCCCAGCTGAGGGGTGCAGGAGTGGCCCTGGGCTTTCCAAGGTTTTGCCAGGGAGAACAAGCTCTACCATGGGATCCCTTCCAACTCTACAGTTCTATGATCTAGTTGGCTCTTGGGGCCCCTTCCAAATCTATGGTTCTATGATTTCAGTAGGCCCTTGGGATTCCTTCCAACTCTATGGTTCTACAAATCTAGTTGGCCCTTGGGGTCCCATCCAATGCTATGGTTCTGTTGTTCCAATTGGCCCTTGGGATTCCTTCCAACTCTATGGTTCTACAAATCTAGTTAACCCTTGGGGTCCCATCCAACGCTATGGTTCTATGATTCCAATTGGCCCTTGGGATTTCTTCCAACTCTATGGTTCTATAATTCAAGTTGGCCCTTGGGGTCCCTTCCAACTCTATGGTTCTATGATTTCAATTGGCCCTTGGGATTCCTTCCAACTCTATGGTTCTACAAATCCAGTTGGCCCTTGGGGTCCCATCCAATGCTATGGTTCTATGATTCCAATTGGCCCTTGGGATTCCTTCCAACTCTATGGTTCTATAATTCTAGTGGGTCCTTGGGGTCTCTTCCAACCCTAATTATGATTCTAAGATTCTAAATGGTTTCAATTCTGCAGTTGCTTAATACTGTTTTGATCACAACTGTTCTATGTTTTAACTATATGGGCTTTAATTGTAATTGTCTTCCTTTTCCCTCAGCTGTCTTGAGTCTGGAAGAAAGGAGGGATATAAATAAAGAGATGAATGGATAGATGGATTGCAAGAACAAGTGTTTTTCCTTGATCAGAATTCCTTGCATCTCAAAAACCAAAGAAACCTACAGAATATAGAAGAAGAAGGAATGAACCTGTTTGTTTTGCAAACGACATGAATTTTCTTCCTCAAGGTCATGGCTCGGCTCAAAAAACACAGCCATCCCTTAACCACCAAGGCCTTCTCTGGCTTCTCATCACCCTTTTTAATGATAGGAATATTGCTCTGGTGTGACTTATAAGTGCTATTCTAAGGGATAGAGGGGTCGATATATTTGTTTTCCTGGTTGATCTACGGCAACGATAGGAAGCCATGCATGAAGTTTATTAAACCTGCTTAATTTTCTATCAGTTCGGAGAACGATCGATCTTGTCTGGAGAAGTTATCTGACTTTTGCGCCAGCCTGGGTTAAAACGAAATCATTTAGAAGAGAAAGGAAAGTGCCGGACCGCAGGACGGTGTGGGGAGGGTGAAAAAAAAGAAAGAAAGAAGAAACGGATTCTTCAATAAAGTGGCAAGGCTAGAAAAATATTGTCTTAAGATCCCACATCACAGTTTACATTTTGTAATTTGATGAATCCGGAGATATGTTGCAGAAATGCAATGAAACGCTGTTAATGAATTATGAAGATGTGCATCCGGGAAAATGTTCCAATGCACACCAGGCATTGCTGATGCCCACAGGGCACTTCAGAGGTTCACGGAGCATTTTTGATGCCCATGGGCCACTTCCTGGGAACATCAAGCACTTCTCCCCCTCCATTATATATTTATTCATTTAAACACAAGCAATCTAATTCACAACCAAAACCATAAACAAACAGGAAGAAGTACAAGCGCATCCAAAATCCACAAAGCAGCAAGACCTTTGTTGGGCCAACCAAAATGCATAAAGCACACGATGCAAGCTTTCGAAGCTCCACTGGGGCTGATAGGTTGTAACATCACAGCAGCTCCTAGGTAGACATTGCAAAACTTTACTCTTCAAGAATACAGTTCTTGAAGAATGTGGACAATTCGAGACAATCCCATTCAAGAAGGTTGTGGACAACCTGGAGTGTGTCCAGAGGAGGGCAACCAAAATGGTGGAAGGTCTGGAGACCACCAAACCCCCCTCAGGTGTAGTTTAGGGAGCTGGGGATGTTTAGCCTAGAGAAGAGAAGGGATTGGATGGGCTCCCATGTTGGCCATGAAACCCACTGGGTGACCCTGGGCACTTCACACTCTCTCAGCCTCAGGGAAAGGCAATGGCGAACCTCCTCCAACCATGAGAGGTTTGCCTGAGAGTCGTCCTAAGTCAGAAACGACTTGAAGGCACACAACAACACAACAGTACCTTGAGGGTGGAGCAAGCTTGTTTTCTGCTGCTCCAGAGAACATTCAAAAGTCAATGTCCCAAATGTGGAGGCCCGACTGTACATTATATATGCGGCACCATTCAAATGGGTGCAGATACAGGCAGCAAATTCTGGAAATCTTGGCTTTTAGTCGCTGACGGCAAATTGTGTGACAGCCACAACTCCTTAGGATTGGACACAGGGATCTGTCCTGTGAAAGAAAAGAGCATGGTGTGCCTACAAACATCCTGGCTCAGGATCGGTGTCTGAACAGCAAGGACATTGGCACAGCACCAGTCAAATCCCCCTTGATGTTTGGCCGCTTGGAGCCTTCCCAAAGCCTACTCCATCCTGGTGTGATTTGTGATTGTGTTTCATCAAGTGTTATAGTGAAGTGCATCGAAAGCCCTCCCTCCTCACACATCTCCCCCCCACCACCACTGCTTTAAAATCTGGCTTCAAATTATGGCAAATACCTAAGAGAAAGATTTCTCTCTGCCTTCTCTGCTCTTAGCAAATGCCAAACAATCAGGGAGCTCATTTCGCGAGAGGCGCTGATTGGTTCTGCCACAGCATCCGAACCGCTTTGATGGGTGGATTTTGCTTTTACAAATGAATTCCCCTAGCCGTCACCCGCCAGGGACAGTTCACTTGGATTGCATGCTTACAAAAAAAGGGAGGGAAACATATGCACCGGGTTAGCCGTTTGGAAAGGCTATCTGGAAAACAAGAGGCCTGTGGCTTTTGGTGAGTGGGAGCAAGGAACAATGGAGAGAATTTTTTAATCAACAGCAGCAGGTTGAGAACAAAAAACAAACAAACCCCAAAGCAAAATAATAATAAGAATAAGAAAAGCCGGTAAGAGCATAGCTAGCGAGTCAACAGAACTCCAGCGAGAAGGTGATGTGCGGGTCAGTTTTGCTCCAGCTTTTTCCTTGTCTGACTCGAGGAGAGTTTGCAAGGTCAGCTACCACCCCAGATCTGAAGCATCAGCTGACAAGGCTTAGCTATGGTGTGCTGGAAGGTACGCAGTTGTGACAAGGTGGATGGGACCCAGTCCGCGCATGGCTGTGTTTGGGGTGGGTCGCCTTTCAACCTCGAGGGTTAAGCCTGCACCTTGTGCTCAAATGGTGCTTGAACAGGGATGGCCACGTGAGACAAAAAGGGGGCGAAGGAAGAACTGCTGAAACAGGCAGCTGTGGGAAAGCCAACCCACCCAGCCATCCCAACATCTTGTTGGCAGGAGATCAGGGAGATCAGATCCTCTTGGTGGTCTGGATTATAGCTGGGGAAAGGCCCTAGCTTAGGGGCAGAGTATGTGCTTTGCACATAGGTGGTCCCAGGTCCAAGCCCGAGCATCTCTAGGTAGAGTGGGAAAGACTCCCTGCGTAGGATAATCAAGTACAGCATCGTCCAAAATCCACACGACAGTGATCCCTTTACTGGACCAACTAAAATGCACATGTTTTCAAGCTTTCCCTGTGTAGGAGTTACTGTGGTATTTCTACAATTGTATAGACCAGTGATTCCCAAACTTTGGTCCTCCAGATGGTTGACTTCAGCTCCCATAATTCCTGACTGTCCACCAAGTTGGCTGGGGCTTCTGGGAGTTGGGGTCCAAAACTCCCAAAAAACACAGTATAGGAATCCCTGGCATAGACAATATTGAGCTAGCTCAATGCATCAATGGTCTGATATAGGAGAGGACAGCATCCTCTCTACCTATGAAAGGTGCAGATAAAGGATGAAGGATACCTGTCTTGACAACAGAATATGTGAAAGGGATCTGGGAGTCTTAGTGGATCACAAGCGGAACCTGAGCCAACAGTGTGATGCAGCAACTAAAAAAAGCCAGTATGATCCTAGGCTGTATCAATAGGAGTGTAGTGTCTATCTACATCTAGGGAAGTCATAGTCCCACTCTATTTTGCTTTGGTCAGGCCTTACCTGGAATATTGTGTCCACCTCTGGGCATTCAGTTAATGGTTGAATGGTGAGACAACATATGGATACATCTAATGATCCAGAGGGTCTACTCTTTGTTGTTGTACGCCTTCAAGTTGCTTCTGACTTATGGCGACCCTACAGTGAATCCGTCACGGGGGTTTCTGGAGCTGAGAGTGTGTGACTTGCCCAAGGTCACCCAGTGGGTTTCCATGGCCAAGTGGGGAATCGAACACTGGTTCTCAGAGTCATAGTCCAATGCTGAAACTACACCACTCTGGATCTTGGGTCTACTCTAGTTAGGACTAAAAGAGAATTCAGACCAGAAAGTGTGACTTGCCTAAAAGCAACCAACATGTTCCCATGGCTGAGCACGAATTTGAATCCAGATCCCTGGAGTCCCAGTCCAATATTCAAACCACTACACCACTTTGGGGCAAAAATACCATGCCTTTGAGCTACCTTTTGTTATTTTGGGGGTGAAAAAATAATATTCACTGAAGTGGGCTTTTTTAAAGTAAATTTGGAAGGATTTGTGACCCTCTACAAGCTGCCCACAATGTACCCACCTCTGACAAGGGAACCACATCTGGTTTGAAGAGACAGAAGGAAAGGCTTTTGAAACAAGCATACAAGCAAATGAACAAAAACCTCATTTGTGGGTCAGTGTATTAATTTCTTTACTTTGCTGAAAAACAGTCCTTGGAAACAGTCTCTATAGGACCTCAGACCCAAGATATTGCTGTTACAAACAGCAGAGCACATACAAGGCCACCATCCAGATCATGAGCGTGAGGCCAAGGAGGAGATAATGAACGCTGCTGAAGAGGTGGCACTGGCTCGGTAAGCATGGAAAGGTCTGCTTTGGAAGGACTTGCCTGGCTTTTTGAGGGTACGTCTGGCAGGTGTGTCTGCTGTCCCAGCAAGAAAGCCAATGGCAATCGGGGATAAGGATGATGTAGGCCGTCGGGTCATAATGGAAGATCCGTTTGAGCTGCGTGGAAGCCGATTCACCAATAAAAACAGAAGGGATGCCCACCTGCCCCTTGGCATCCTCATTTTCGCTCAGCATGGTCACCAGGGCTTGCGAGTTGACATTGTGGATGATAGCGGCATGGTACCCAGCCTTCTGGGCCTGGAGGACCTTGGCGGTGAAGGAGCAATCATATCTCTGGATGAGAGCGACAAAGGCAACAGAGGAACCATTGGATGGTGGTGGAGCTCGGATGGGGTGGCAAGCGTTGGCTGGCTTGGCTTCAACAAGGTACCCCAGGAGACCTTCACGGTAGAGCTGAGGTCCGAAATGGGAAGGCAGGGCTTCGAAATCTTGGCTGATGCCATTGTGGTTGTAGACGACCCGGATTAAGGCATCATTGGGGGAGATGTGGGAAAGGGTGATCACCAGGACCACATGGATTAGAGATGGAGTGGCAACCGGCATTCTCGTGTAGGTCATCTAGAGACCTTTGAAGGACTTTATGGACAGAAGAAGCAACCACTGGGTGGTTCCTGGACCATCCATGAAACCAGATCGTAGATGGTTAGGTAGAATATGCAGGCCTTGGGTTAAGGGATGGTGGTGATCTTTCACTTGGAGTTTGACTTGTGTGGTTGATCTCCCCTAAGAGCTTCAGGCCATCCCTCAAAAAAGAGAAAGAGAGGATGCACTGACATTTGACCCTGGAGCTTTATGACCTCATGACTCTCTCACCAGATCTTCCCTTTCACCTGAGAAACATGTCCATGAAGTCAAGCTGCCAACAGCCCAGTTACAGCTGGCAATTTCCATATCAGTTGGGAGGAAGAATCATTGAGTCTGGGTTGGAAGGGACCCCAAGGACCATCCACTCTGACCCCCTGCTTTTCAGGAATATGCAACTTAAGCACTGAAAAGATGGTGCCTTTGCCATCCTTTGAGGCTGAGAGAATATGACATGTCAAAGGTCACCCATGAATTTCCATGGCTGAGAGGGGATTTGAACCCTGGATTCCAGAGTCATAGTCCAGCTCTCAATTCACTATTCCACACTGGGTCTCCTATCTCCACTAGAAACAAGTATTTTGGAACATTTGATTGTTGTTGTTGTTGTTGTTGTTGTTGTTGTTGTTGTGTGTCTTCAAGTCATTTCTGATTCATGGCAACCCTATCATGGGGTTTTCTTGGCAAGATTTGTTCAGAGGGAGGTTGTCCTTACCATTTTCTGAGGCTGAGAGAGTCTGCCTTACCTAGGGGCACCCACTGAGTTTCATGGCCGAGCCAGAATGCAAACCCTGATCTCCTAAAGTCACATTCCAGCACTCCAACAACTACGCCACACTGGATCTTGAAACACTAATGGGTCTGAATTCTCAATTCAGGACCAAGCTATATTCCCCTATACTGTGCATTGCAACATTTCCATGGGTGGGTGGTGGAGGTGAGGTTCCCTTGTTGCTGTGGGCCTTCAAACCATTATAGCAACCCTAAGGCAAACCTATCATGGGGTTTTCTTGCCAAGATTGATTCAGAATGGGTTTGCCATTGCCTTTCTCTGGGCCTGAGTGTGACATGCCCAAGGTTTCTAGGGCTGAGCTGGGATCCAAATCCTTGTCTCCTGGAGTCTTTAGTCCTCCAACCATTGCACCACACTGGCTCCATTCCTTCAAAACATGGGAAATTCAATACCGGCAGATATCTGTGGCTGATTTCTGCACCATCCCTTTCCAGAATGTGTGCTTGCAAATGTACCATAACTACAGGGTTTCTAAGAGCTTCTTTGAAACCCAGCCAGCTTCTGGAGGACATCTACTGATCTCATCTCCAGCTGAGGAGGATCTCTTCCATTCTCCATGCTAGACGTGACTCTTGACAAATGCCAAACTCTCTTTCATGCTCCTTAAGGGTCCACTTCCTACCAGGCAGCTTCCCAAATTTTAAATTTCATGGGAGTCCCTTTTTGGTTTTTAGAGAATGAAAGAAGCCATCTTCCTGAGATGGTTCATTTCCACATCCAGAGCAACTTCATCTACTGGAACTGTACACACAGAGGGAAGATACTAAGAAGCAGACATAAAGGCTTGGGAAGCAGCCACACTGTAAAAATAATGTAGTTTGATACCACTTTAAGTGCCATAGCCCCATCCTATGCAATCCTAGGGTTTGAAGTTTTACCAAGTTTTTCACCTTCTCACCCAAAACTACATGTCCCAGGATTCTGTAGGATGGAGCCATAGCAGTTGAAGTGTGTCAAACTACATTCTTTCTACAGTGTAGATGCATCCTAGGTTGAATTGGGGCTACAATTAATTAAATCCAATTGGAACGATAGAGGAACAGCGTGGCATAATGGTCTGAGCATTGGACTATGACTCTGGAGATCAGGATTCAGTTCATTGCCCACCCATGGAAACTCCCTCAGTGACCTTGGGTGAGTCACACACTCTCATCCCCAGAAAACCCCTTGATGATAAGTTCACCTTTGGGTCTCCTTAAGTCATAAACGACATGGAGGCACACAACAACAACAACATCATCAACAACACATTCCTACAAATGAACCTTTGAGGTTGGTGGAATCAAGAGAAATGCTTCACCCAAATCTTCGAACTTAGGTGGGCTTGTATGGCAAGATAGGGTCCTTCGAATTGTTGTTGTTATTGTGTGCCTTCAAGTCGTTTCTGACTTATGACAACCCTTAAGCGAACCTATCATGGGATTTTGTTGGCAAGAGTTGTCCAGAGGAGGTTTGTCCTTGCCTCCCCTGAGGCTGAGAGTGTGTGACCTGCCCCAGGCCACCCAGTGGTTTTCATGGCTGAGCTGGGAACTGAACCCTGGTCTCGAGTCGTAGTCCAGCACTTAAACCACTAAACCACACTAGCTCACACATAGCCTAGATCTAAGCCACACAGAGATTTAAAGGTCTTTATAGATGTAATGGTTTGAGTGTTGGACTGCGACTCTGGAGATCAGGGTTCAATTCCCCTCTCAGCCATGGAAAACCACTGGGTAACCTTGGGCAAATCACATGCTCTCAGACTCAGGGGAAGTCAATGGCAAACCTCCTCTGACCAAATCTTGCCAAGAAAACCCCATGATAGGTTTTCCTTAGGGTTGCCATAAGTCGGAAAAGACTTGAAGGCACATAACAGCAACAACAGAAGTGCAATTCATGAGGTCGCCGTAAGTTGACAGGTGACTTGAAGGCACATACACACACACAGAGGTCTTGCAAACTGATCTGCCCCAAACTGGAGAATTTGCATCCTCATCTCTTGCATGGAGATGCCCAATAAAAACTGGAGACTCAGGGCAGGCCTGGGAATCTGGCCACCCTGCAAGAATTCCATTCTTGGTTTCCTCTCCCAGTTTTCCTTCTGGTTCCATTCTGGTTCTTTTCTTCTCCTAGATGCAATACCTCTCTGTCCCGTAAAGCCGGCCAACATCCAGAAGCTAAATTTGTTTCTTGCCAATATGCCTTCCTCCCTCCCTCTCCGTTCGCCTCCCCTCCAGGGATTAGGAAGCAAAAGATGGCGCTGAGACTAATCCAGGACCACCATGTGCAGGGATGGGATAAGGAGCGAAAGCCAAGCGTCTGTGAGAAAATAAACTTGGCTGGCGCTGGAGCCAAACCTGTCCTATTGCAATCTTGGCGAGCGTCGCCTCTGTGTGCAGAGAAGTGGTGGCAAATGAAATGAATGAGCAAGGCCGCTACCTTGGTTACTGATTTTCCCACCCGGTTGCTAAATTTTATTTATTTTAAAAATAAAGTGCACCAAGTGCACTGGAAAGAAATCCACCATTCTTTCCTAGCTGTGGTTGTTCCACAGTCCATTCTTTGTAACCTTTCGATTGAGAAGGCAAGGGTGGGCACCATGCAACCTTTGGGAGGTTATCATCAGCCACAATCCCTATCAGTCCTAGCCAGGGTTTAAGGGATGATGGGAGTTCCAGTTCAACAACCTCTGTAGGGCTGCATGTATTTCTCACCACTGATTGAAAGCATGGCTGGTTGGGTTTCATTACACATTTAATTTGGATTTTTCACTTTTTAAAAAACTTTTTTAGAGGGTATCATCAACCCTT